AGAGCGATATTTCACACCCACAAACACACACACACACACACACACACACACACACACACACACACACACACACACACACACCTGAATGGAATCGTTGATGTCGATGGGACGCTCGATGATGGCTTCTTCGCAGGAGCAAGGAGCGCGGCCGACGCTCCAGACGTCGTGAGACTCCCAGCGGGCATTGCCTTCAGAGCTACTGTCCTCCCATGGGACAGTGGTGACCACTGCAAAATGGGTGGGATTGCATTGATGTCCATGAATCATAGGCTTTGCACCGGACACACCTGACGTGACTGGCAGGTAAACACACGCACACATACACACACACAGACACACAGGCACATACACACACACATACACACACAGACACAGACGCAGACACACACACACACACACACACACACACACACACACACACACACACACGCGCGCGCGCGCGCGCGCGCACACACACACACACACAAACACACAGACGCACACGCAGACACAAAACGTCCGGACAACATTCACACAACGTACTGCGAAGTGCATCGCTCATGCACATGTCGTGGGATGCGTGAACAACACTCGTTGGTGTTGCTAACACAAGCAGCACTAGCACGGGCACCAGCAGCAGCTTGGCTGCAGGCACCGTCAACAGGTTCATGGCCGTTGGGAGCGATGGATGGATCGTGGGTGTGGGTGCGGGTGGGTGGGATGATGGACAGTGGGTTGTTGATGGTCGTCGATGACCAAACGTGCGCTCAAACTGAGGCATGTCGATTGTTCACGAGAGATGTGCATCAATTTTCCTTCAAGGCGCTTGCTTCGCTCGCCGCTCAAACCACGAAGACGAGAACGGTGTGTATGATGATATGTCTTGATGGTAACGGAGAGGCAATGGCACTGCATTCAACAGAATAAGATCAGGGAAGTAACAGAAGAGAAGCGTGAAGAGACACACGAACAAAGAGACAACACACGACGGACGAAGCAACACGACAGGACAACAGTGAACGACACAGACAACACAAACAACACACCAGCGACCCACGAGGCGCGCGGAGCACGTAAACAGTCCAAGATTGCACGTCAACAAGAAGCAACAACAATAATGGTTGGCATGCATCGTGATCAGCCAAATACAACAACAACAACATGTCCCTTCACATGTCATCAACAACACAGAGAATGAACAAGAACAACAACAACAACAACAACAACAACAACAACAACAACAACAACAACAACAGACATAACGTGAATGGGTTGACTATGGGATGGCGTGCAGTGCGTATGAGTGTGTGCATGGCAGGAACACGCGTGAAAAGTGGGTAACAGCGCGCGCGCGTGTTTGTGTATGTGTACACGCCAACACGACACAAAGCGTGTCAAGTTGTGAACAGCAGGGTGCAGCAACGACCCAATCACTCCACGGGGAGGTTCTCCTCGTCTTCGTTCTCGGGCACTTGGTACTTGTCGTCGTCGTCGCTGTTGGCGGCGTCATCAGCGTTGTTGTCGCCGCTGCCCGCCGTGTTGTCGGCATCTTGGGTCGGAGCATCATCCGGGTTCACTGTCAGGTACCCCGACGCTGTCAAAGGAGGGAGAGGGGCAACAGAGCGGCGGTTGATGTATGTGAGGCGAGATGAACACGAGATACACGGTCGAGTTGAGCTCGTGCAAAATTTGATTCGGGAGCGACAGCATGGCAAGTATATTGCACCACGTGCGCACACGCACACATGTACACGCACACACACACACACACACACACACGCCAGCACGACTCACGCTCGTCGTAGAGATCCTGGTCTTCATACAATGCTGTCATTGACGAAATAACGCCAATGCACACAGTGATGCAGCAGACAGGAGTGAGTGTAACACGAGACAAAGCAGGTGTACACATGCTCACACACATGCACACACACACACCACATATGACATCACACAACACACACACACACACAACGCAAACACATCCACATACTGCACACCACACGACATCATACCACAACCACTACTCACGCTCCATGTCGGCGTCGTTGGCGGGCCTCTTCGCGGGTTGCTGTGTCCACGGCTTTGGCTCGTTCATCATGTACGCCGGGTTGGAGATGACCATGTCCCGGCCGTGGAAGGACCCGGAGCGGTACGGGGCCATGGTGGAGCCCTGATCAAACTTGTCGGCGCTGCCGTCGTTGTTGCTGCTGACTTTGGCGTTTTTGCGGCGAAGGAGGGCAAGGCCAATCATGATGAGGGCCAGGGCAATAATGGCGCCGACAGCAACAGCGACATACACAATCGTGCTGGACGCCGCCGTGTTGTCTGTGCCAGACTGCGAGGCGGACGGGTCCCTTGTCGTGGGGGCGTTGGTGCCGGGGTTGGAGCCCGCCTTTGTCGTGGTCGTGGCGCCCCCTGTTCCCAGCACGCACCGGCCGTTCTTCAGCTCCTCGCCCGTGAAGCACGCCGTGCACTGCGTGGGGAGCGGACCAGAGCACGTGCGGCAGAAGCGGTCGCATGCCCGGCACTCGCCGTCGCCGAGCGAGTTTGTGGCCGAGTAGTGCTGCTCAGGGCACGCGTCCACGCACCCGTCGTGGGTTGGAAGAAGGAACTTGTTGGACTCGCAGCGCACGCAGCCGTCCGCGTTGCACGCGTCGCAGCCATCGAGGCATGCCACGCACGAGCCCAGGTCGACGTTGGCGTAGGTGCCAGCAGGGCACGTGTTCACGCATGCGCCGTTGTGGCGGAAGAAGCCGCGACGGCACGTGACACACACGTCTGCACTCGTACAGATGTCGCATGTGGCGGGACAGCTCACGCACTGGCCGTTGTCCGTGTACGTTGAGGCAGGGCACGATGGCACGCAGCGGCCAAGGTACACGTTGTTGGTGCCGTGGCATGACAGGCACTCGTCCACACCCTCGCCAGCACACGTGGCGCATGTTGGATGGCATGATGGTCTGCAACCGCACGAAGCGGACAAAATTGTGTGGGCGTGTGTGTTTGTTCGTGTGTTTGGGTGTGCGAGCAGGTGAGTGCGTGAGTGGATGATCGTATGTGAGAGTGTGCGTGCACATGACAGCGTGGGGTGCATCGACTGCAAAGCAAGGTGCTCACGTTGTGGTTGGGAGCGTCGTGGTGGTGGTGGTGGTCGTCGTCGTCGTTGTGGTCCTGCTCAATGACAAAACGCATGCACACACGCACATGAATTTGAGTTCGGGAACTTGAGTGACAGCAGACACCGTAAACAATACAACACGCTCAAACAAGACTACACACACACACACACACACACACACACACACACACACACACACACACACACACACACACACATACAGAACACACACACACACTCGCACACATACACAACACACACACACACACACATACGTGGTGAATGGGACGCAGACGGTGTCTGAGGACTGCGTGCAGTTTGCGGCGTGGCTCTCGATTAAGGGATCGCAGGTGGAGCACATCGTGCACTGGATGTCGGACGACGCCGTGCAGGGCGACGAAATCCACTCGTCCTCGCCACAGGTTGTGCTACAGGCGGTGCACACGGTGTCGTTGGTGCGCGTGCACGCCACCAGCTCGTACATGCCAGAGCCGCACGACGAGCAGGGCCCACACTGGCGGTCCATCGTCCCCATGGGTGGCGCCGTCTCGTACTCGTCATCTGCACACTCACTCGCGGCTGTCATGACGGACTGCGGAGAGGTGGCATCGCCATCACCGCCATCGTTGTACGCAATCACGGAGACGCGGTAGGTGGTGACGGGGTTGAGACCGCCAACGATGTACCACGTGGTGAGGCCGGCATCGATTGGTGGCAGGAGGCTGATGCCCTGCTCGATGGACAGGCGGTACCCGCGCACCTCGCCAAGGCGATGCTCAGCCATGACAGGAGACCACGTCACGCGCACGTGCGTGTTGTTGACGGCCACGGCCTGTTGGTGTGTGTGTGTGCGTGTGTATGTGCGCGTGTGTATGTATGCACGTGTATGTGAACGGGCGTTGGTGAGTACGGTGGGCCAATGAGATGAGCACCTGGCAAAGACAGTCATCACACACACGCACACACACACACACATTCAATGACGCACCACGACTGTCTGCGGGGCGCTTGGAGGAACAACGGCTGTGGCGTGCTCGTATTGGGCGGTGAGGCCGAGACCATCGTCGGTGTCGGCCTGAACGCGGACGGTGTAGGATGTGGAGTGCTCCAGGCCAGAGAGGGTGAAAGTGTGTTGACGTGCATTGGTAGACACGGCGTAGTCCATGACATCGCTGAAATCATCATCCTGTGGAGCAAAGAAGGACGTGAGAGAAGCAAAGAACACGCATGTGAAACTTAGTGAGTGGACAAGAAGCACCATTTGAGGGAAGCAACCAACACACAAATGCAAGTGCACATTCACACAGGCGTACACAGCATACGCGCACGTAACTCACCCCCTCTGCCTTGTATTGGAGGTGGAAGGCGGTGAGTGGGCTGGTCCAAGTGGCCTTGAGCCGCAGCTCTGTCTCTGCCGCGGATTGAAGCGAAATGACAGGTGCAGCCACGTTGGCAGGGACAGTCTCAACCGTCGTCTGGCGTGCTGGGCCATCACCTGCGCCCGTCAGCGCAACAACCCTGACGGTGTACGTCGTGCCCTGCAAGGAGAGAAACCCAAGGAGGAGAATGTGTGTGTGTGTGTGTGTGTGTGTCAGTCAGTGACATGCTGTCCACTAAGGGTGCTTGCAAGGTGACACACACACACACACAAACACACACACACATGCGCAAATACACACACATACGCACACACAACGAACCGAGAGGACGTCGAGGCTGAAGTTGGCGTAGGACGTGGTGAAATCACTCGTGCCATCAACGGCGGGCGTGAATGTGATGCGATACTGGAGCGCTCCGTTTGCCGGCGATGGCGGCGTCCACAGCACCTTCACCACGTCGCCAACCTCTTGTGCAATGAGCGAGCCCACAGCACCGGGCATCGCTTCGGCGGTGCGGAACGTGTAGGGAGCAGACGTCGGCGAAGACACGCCAGTCGTGGTGATGACCACGGCCTCCACGTTGTACACCGTGTACGGGTCGAGCCCAGACAGCGCCTGGCTGGCGTTGAAGCCATCAGCAGCAGAGAACACAAGCCATGCCGGTGTTGCGCCGGTGATGGGGCGGCGGTTGGAGTCCTCGACGGCCGTGACGGTCACGTTGATGGTGGCAATGGTGTTGCCGTTCAGCTCAACTGACAAAGGAGGTTTCACCCACACGTTGGCGGATGTGGTGGTGACGTGTGATGTCCACACGGATGGGCCAGTGCACACCTGCGACCCGCCGCTCGTCATGTGCAGCGCTGGTGCAGAGTATACGCCCTCGCCAGCAGCAGTGCGGGCTGCAACCTGGAACTCGTACGGATACACAGCAGTGTCCTGCAGCTCCACCACGGTGTAGGTCTCCACACGTGGTGTGTCGATGTAGATGACGTCGATGCTGGCGGGGTGGCGCGTGCAGTCGCTTCTGGGTCCCTGACGCACAGAGATGGTGTAGCCAATGAGGATGCCATCAGCTTCGAGTGGGCTGACTGGGTCCCAGCTGAGCGTGACAGTCTCGGTTGTTGTGCTGTCCACCTGGACGTTCGTGGGTGCAACGGGTGGTGTTCCCTCGGCTGTTCGAGCAATCGACGCATCGCTGTACGGACCCAGTGCGTGTAAGGGTGTGTACGTGAGTGTGTGTGTGTGTGTGCGTGTGCGTGTGTGTGTGTACGTGAGTGAGTGTTGTGTGTGGGTGTGTAGTGAGTGTGTGTGTGTGGTGGTACAAACCTGGTCAATATAGACAGAGAGCAAGTTGAGCAAACGATGCCAACAACCACATGTTCATACACATGCACGCACCTGATAGAACGTGTACGCGTCGAGGTCTGTGAGGTTGTAGTTGGTGAGGTCGTTGCCCGTGACGATGGTCCAGGGTGTGCCCGCTGGCTGGCGCATGCTGTTCAGGCGCTGCACCCACAGCTTGTACGATGAGATGGTGCCGTGGCGCTCGCCAAACAGCGGCTGCTTCCACGTGATGTGCAACACGGTCGTTGCTGCCGCTCGCGCCACCACATCCTGGGGTGGACCTGAAGGGTTGAGGAGGGAAGGAAAGGCAAGAAATGGCACGTGGATGAGGACAGGGCACAAACGATCGTGTGTGAGGGACAAGGCAGCCAGGCGAAGGAATCACGCGCACTCAAAGCACGACGCACACACACACACACACACACACACACACACACACACACACACACACACACACACACACACACAAGCGCCAACCTGTTGGGGTGCCGGAGAGAGTGCGGGCGCGGACGGCGTCAGAGGCCGGGCCCTGACCGCGGACGGTGCGGGCAGCCACACGGAAGGCGTAGGTGGTGTACGGGTCGAGGCCAGTGAACGTGTGCTGGTTGTCCTCCGTGATGACGGGATGGCGGCCAACGCAGACGGCGTCCTGGCACGAGTCAAACACCGTCGCATCGTCGCCTGCCAAGGGCATGTGTATGGGGGTGGCATGTTTGTTGGTGAGGAACGAGGAGGCGTGCAATGGTAGTGCAATGGTGACTCGATGCACACAAAAGCATAGATACGCACACACACACACACATACACACACACACGCACACAAGCATTCAAGCTCACCATCGTCGCAGTCGGTGCCATCTGGCGCATCGTCATAGACGCACTCGCCACTGACACAGCGACCGGGCTGCTTGCACTGATCCATTGGTGGATCACATGTCTGCAATGTTTGGACCATGCATGATGCACATGAGGATGAGATTGACACGAAGGGATTCGTGATACCAAGTGTGTTGGGAGCTCACAACCCAACACACGCACGCACGCACATGCACACACATGCAAGGCAAGCATCATGGGCACGTGCTCTTCGCTGTACGCACCACATCGGAGCACGGATCGGCTGCAACATCCACGCGGTAGAAGACCTCGACATCGTCCACTTGCCAGCTGTTGTCGGAGCCAGTCAACCACTCGTTGTTGTACGTGCTGCTGCTCTGGTGCACACTGTATTCAGTTCAAGAGGTCACAGCACACATAATGGCACGAATGGTGGTGTGCATGAGCAAGTGACGAGCCATTCATCGTGCATTGCATTTACTCACAAAAACATATCCAACACACACAAACATCCTTTCCACTCACGTGTACGAGTTGGCGTTGGTGTGTCCAGACCGGCAGTCCGTCGACATGCGGAAATCAGAGTTGCCTGCATGCGTGTTAATGTGAGTGAGTGAGTGAGTGAGTGAGTGAGTGAGTGAGTGCGTGAGTGCGTGAGTGCGTGAGTGTGAGTGTGAGTGTGTGTGTGTGTGAGTGAGTGTGTGAGTGTGTGTGAGTGAGTGTGTGAGTGAGTGTGTGAGTGAGTGTGTGAGTGAGTGAGTGAGTGAGTGAGTGAGTGAGTGAGTGAGTGTGAGTGAGTGAGTGTGTGAGTGCATGTGTGTGTGAGTGTGAGTGAGTGCCTGCATGTGCGTGTAAACGCACTCGCAAACGCCAGCAATATAGTCCAGAACAACCGAGGAGCCTCCATCAACACACACACACAGTCACTCACCAAATTCTGGGCAGTAGCCTGGGCGTGTGTACTGCGCGTATTGCGGCTGCGAGAGAAGTTCCGTACGCTCGAATTGGCCGTTATTGACGAAGCGGAAGAGGAAGGCGTCGTCGGCACGAAGCCACGCGGATGAGTCGGAGTGCCAGCTGTTGGGAGCAAAGGCGCCAAACACGCGTGGACCCTGTGGGCTGCCCTCTGTCGAACGGACAACGACGATCGTCTGGCCCTTCTTGTCGCAGCGGGAGTGGAAGGTGGTGCCAGAGAAGCCGTGGTCGGATGCGCGGAAGCAGAGCTTGAAGCTCGTGTCACTGTTGGGCGACACCTCCTTGGAGATGGCCAGGTTCATGTCCTTTGTCAGGATCTCGGAGCCCATGATGGCCTGCGTTGGTCTCCGCTGGAAGAGCGAGCGGTCGCCATACACATTCTCGTCCACAACTGCAGTCATGTATGCGTGCGTGTGTGTGTGTGTGTGTGTGTGTGTGTGTGTGCGTGTGTGGGTGTGTGTGCGTGTGTGTGTGCGTGCGTGTGTGTGTGGTGAAATGGATAAGAGGTGCGAAGCCCCACACAATTGCAAGCGCACACGAACATCAACATAGACATACACGCGCACACTCGCACGCATGTACACACCTCGGTAGCAGCGGACAGAGTTGCTGTAGTAGCTGAGGCAGATGTTCTGTCCATCAAAGCCGAGCTTGCGCGTGTCCTGATTGTGATTGATGTAGCGGGACTGGTACCGGAAGTTGCTCAGGTCATACCTGTTGTGATTGTGGTGGTGGTGGTGGTGGTGGTGGTGATTGTGTATGTGTGTACGTGTGTGTAAGTGCGTGCAAGTGCGCAAGCGCGAGCAAAGTCGAAGTACCGACAATGAACGGCCGGCCAGAACAAATCAACTGTACTTCATATGCACACGCATGCAACACAGCACATGTGACGCACTGATAGATGTATCTGTCGTTGTAGTCGCCAGCGAAGATGCGGCCGTTCACGACAGCGAAAGTCCCATAAATGTACGAGAAGCCGGGCGAGTTCTGCAGGCTGTTTGTGAGAAGGAGAGATGTGCACATAAGGGAACACGGATGTAAACACGCCAATGGCAGTGATGCGTTTGATGAACTTGTGAGATGAGGACGGCTACAGGAGTAGAGTGACCGCAAGACACGCACGCATGCGAGCACCACGCACACGCACACGCACACGCACGCACACACACACGTGCGCCACGACTCACTTGACGGACTGGAGGTAGTTGCCGCTGTCGCGGTCGAGAATGCGCAGGTTGTAGGTGTTGCTGCGAATGACATACACCTTGTCACGGTACACAGACACACCGCCAACGCGGCTGCCCACATTGTACGACCAGATTGTCTGATAGTCGTAGTAATGGTGGTGGTGGTGAGCAAGGAGGATGGAATGTGAGTACGCGCGTGACCTGGCAGCTTCTACATACGCACACACACACGCACACACACACACACACACACACGCACACACACACACACACACACACACACACACACACACACACACACACACACACACGCACACGCACACGCACACGCACACACAAGCATCATCGTTGTCATACCGTGACGAGCGGGAATGGGCCCATGCGATGGACGTAGTTGTCGCTGTACGTCTCAATCAGATACGTGTCATCCACATCAGGCCAGATTTGCATGATCTGCGCAGACGTCAACGCGTTTGCAGCGTGCAAGTTGGAGAGAAAGGTGAGTCGCGTCGTTCTCTTGCAAAAAGCACGCATTATTCATGCACAAGCAAGCAATAACAACCCCCCCCCTCTCGTTCAGCAGCAACCACCACTGTCACCACCTCATCCAACACTCACGTAGCGGCGCTGCTGGATGCGGAATCGACCGAGATACGTGGACACGTCCGTGGCGTCGTACCTGCAAGCATCAGTGTTCAGATGTTGGTGGTTGGTGACGGTGTACATGAGATTGGAGCTGCAATTGACAGAAAGATACGAGGCAAAAACAAGCGCGCGCACCAGCACATCGGCACACACTTCCAAGCGCGCACACGCACACACACACACACACACATCGACACACCTGTACACGATGGTGCCATCGGAGGACGACGTGTACTCCGGGAACCACCACTCGTGGCGGCGCGGGCTGTAGCCCATACCGTAGCTGCGCGAGGACCACGAGGTGGACAGCGTCAGCGAGAAGGTGTCGAGGTTGTTGGGCGCGGGCACGCCACGGCACTCGCCGGCGATACACGTGTCATATTCGGTGCTGTCGGGGGTGTGAAGAGTGGCGGAGCGTGGCGAGTTGGTGATACGTCGTGAGACATTGCATGGAGTGATAAAAGTGGTGTGCGGCGCCTCCCCCACACGCAATCACACACACACACACACACGCACACACACACACACACACACACACACGCACACACACAAACGCGTTGCATCAAACCATCAACACGCAAAGCCATCGTTCATGTGTTGAGATGAGCGACTCACTTTTCGTCATCATCGCCGCACGGGGTGCCGTCTGGCTTCGGGGTCTGCTGGCACATTGGACCGCGCTGTCAACATGAAACCGAATGCGCAGAGCGCATATGCACGTGTGCATTGCGTACGTCAGTGCAAGTGTTAGCGATCTTGAATGTGTCCGTGCACGTGTGTGTGTGTGTGTGTGTGTGTGTGTGTGTGTGTGTGTGTGTGTGTGTGTGTGTGTGTGTGTGTGTGTGTGTGTGTGTGTGTGTGTGTGTGTGTGTGGTCAAACCACGCCAAACTCAGCAACTACAAACACTGATTTAGCATTCAGGTTCCCGTACACACTCACGTATGGGTCAAGAATGCACTCTGCTGGCTCGTAGCACGCGTTGGGGCGAACACAGGTGATGTCGTCGCAAGAATCAGGCAGATACTCTGCAAGCGCGTGCGTGCATGTATGTCCATGAGTGATTGCGTGCGCGTGTGCGTGTGTGTTCACGTGCACGTTGATGTGTTTGCAAGTACGCTACGCGTGGCATGAGCAAGACACACTCTCATCGCAGCATTCATTTGCATGCATGCATGCAACGGCGCACCTGGCGTGTAGTAGATGCTGTACTCGACGACATCACCCTCATCGGACGGCGGCAGCTCGTACGAGAGCTGTTGGCGGTGGTTGTGGTCATGGTTGCACGATGATATTGGTCGTGAGTAAATTCGGTGGATGACGAGGTGATATTGTCGTAAAACGACACGTCGCCTTCACATATAAGCACACACATACACACACACACACACACCTTAATGGCTGTCTTGTTGAGCGCGTTGGCGTCGACGTTGTCGGGCGGTGTGCGAGGAATGCCCTGGCCAGTGGTGGGTGCGATGGTGTTGCTGCGCTCGCCCTCACCGGCTGACGTCCACGCTGACACCTGCACGAGGTAGGTGGACACAGGGTCCAGGCCATCCACTTCAAGAGACCGCACACTGCCACTGGATGTGGTCATGGACTGCCACGTGCCACCGAGCCTGACACAAACACGCGTTGTTGCGAGGAGACGTGGAGGAGTAGGAGGAGGAGGAGCAGAAGCAGGAGGAGGAGTGGGTGTGATGCAAAACGCGTGTGGTGGACCGTGGAAAGGTGTCGAGCGCAACACATGTCACGCAATCATACACACGCGCTCATGTCACGCAATCTTACGCACACACACACACACACACACACACACACACACACACACACACACACACACACACACACACACACAGCATCACTCACTTCTGGTAGTAGACGGTGTACTTGGTAACGACGCCGTTGGGTTCGTGTGGCGGCTGCCAGCTGATGGTGATCACTTCGCCGTTGTCAGACAGCTCCTCGTCAGCCTGCACGTGTGTCGGCGGGCCAGGCGGGCCTTCCTGCGTGCGTGCTGTGACGTTGGCCCAGGGCGAGCTGCCGGCGCTGTTGACGGTCGTCAGGTAAAATGTGTAGTCTGTGTATGGCTTCAGCTCCGTGACGGTGAAGGTGAGGAAGTGCAAGCTCGTCACCAGCTGCGGCTGCCGATCATCCCATGACACGTACAGCTGCATCGTGGTTGGCGATGGTGGTTGGAAGTGTTGCAAGGTGAGTGCATGCACATGAGCAAACAACGTAGTGCGCTGGTGCAAATGAATGCTTGAAATAACATCGAGACACACTCGCTCAAGCACACGCAATGACCACACAACAGAAACGCACCCACAACGATCACTTACGCACACATAAACACATAAACAAACACACAAACACACAAACACACAAACACACAAACACACAAACACACACATACCTCGTAGCCAAGCAGACGGCCGTTGTGCGTTGGAATCGGCGGCTCCTCCCACTTGAGTTTGATCTTCGTATCGGAGAGCACCGTGGTCTGCACGTTCGATGGTGGCTGTGTTGGTGGTGCCTCAACCGTGCGCCCATGCACAATGTCGCTGAACGGCCCACCACCGGTTGCCGTGTACGCGCGCACTTGCACGGCGTATGTGTGGCCGGGGTGGAGGTCCTCCAACGTGTACTCGTTGGTGTCGCTGTGAAGCGCAACGCCCATGCACTGGCCGCCGAGGCACGCATCGAAGGTGGTGGCGTTGTTGCCGTCGTCACAGGGGGAGCCGTCGGGAAGCGTGGTGGGCACGCACTTGCCAAGCTCACACCTGTTGGCTGTGGTGCACTGGTTGGTCAGGCACTGCACCGTGTCGCAGGGGTCCACTGTCTTGTTCTGCATGACAAACACCTCCATAATCTCAATGGGGAAGCTACGGGAGCCAGCGAGCCAGTAGTCGTTGTAGCCGCCGCTGTCAATCCTGTACCCGTAGGCGTTGGTGCGCGCATATGTGCAGCTGGAGTAGATGTACAGATCATGGCCGTTACCTGCATGTGAATGTGCGTGCGTGCGTGTCGTGTCGTGTCGTGTTGTGAGAGGGAAGGGGCGTGGAAACGGCGTGTGAGTGTGCATGTTGGTTGGCGGTGACACACGCACACAAAGCAGTATGGTGTAACGATGCACAGATGCAAGTGCAAGCAGGTGGAACGGTCAGACACGACACCACAAACCCAACGCACACATGCACGAGCACACGCGCGCATACACACAACATCTCGCTAACGCACCAAAGGTCGGGCAGTAGTTGGATCTGTGGTAGACGGCGTTCTGGGGATAGCGAACGTCCATGTCTGTGCGATACACCTTGTTGTTGGAGAACTTGAACAGAAACGCGTCGTAGTCATAGTGGTAGCTGACGGAGAATAAGAGTCATGAGAGCAGTGGTGGTGGTAGTGGTGGTGGTGGTAGTGGTGGTGGTGGTGGTAGTGGTGCACATGAGATCAAAACAAAGACAGCGAGCGTAGGCCACAAGCATTAGCACGTACAAACACGCACCGTGTGTGTGTGTGTGTGTGTGTGTGTGTGTGTGTGTGTGTGTGTGTGTGTGTGTGTGTGTGTGTGTGTGTGTGTGTGTGTGTGTGTGTGGTATGAAGATACAAACAAATACACACACAGCAATTACAGAAACACACGCAAGCGCAACCCACCCCGGACCTCCAATACACACAGCTACACACCCCGATCCACTGCTCCATGGCACGTAGGTGAATCCGCCAAAGACATAGTTGGTGTTCTCTCGGCGAGCAATGGTCACCGTCGCGCCCTTGCCGTTGCACTTGCTGTGGAAGGTGTTGGCATTGAACCCGTCCCGGTCTGTGGAGTAGCACAGCTCAAAGTACCGGTCAGGCAGAATGTCGGAGAGCTCGTGGTTCATCTCATCGTTCAGAATGGCGGATCCCTGGATGCGCGCTGGCGTCTGAAGAGGCTCCTGGAAGTAGATGTTTCCGTTCAGCACCGGGTAGCAGCGCAGGTTGGAGTCGCCATCGCTGACACA